GAGTCGCGAGTGCTCAACCTTGCCTGCGCAGCTATCGTTGCCGTTCTTGTTTGTCCACCTGGCGCTCCTTGGCAGGAAAACGCCAGTCGTTCTTGAAAGTTAGCCAGGGAGGCGTCTCAAAGTTGGACAGCAGTGCAATGCCTTCGGTTCGACTTTGCGGTATGTCGTTGGTGCCTTGCACCGGATCCGGCACGCCCTCATTACAAATGTGTGCATCAGCACCATGACCACCTCACGTGTGGATGTCCTGCTGGTGCCCAGTTCATACAAGCCTTTGACAGCTTTCCAGCATTATTGATACCCCCCCAAAGACAAAAGCGGTGGTGGACTGCGCGTTCCGTTCATCATTTGTCCGCAAAGCCGGCGGGCAGCTTTGACCGTGCATCCTGATGTTGTACAGGCACAAACTGGTTTCCAAGACTGTGGCATGGGCCAAGATGCCGTTCGCAAGGCACAGGTAGGCATCAATTTCCACGGCAGCCTTCAGAGAACACGGAGACGTTAGAATCGCAAGCTGCACAAGTTTGGCTCTGCCATGAGCTTTGATCTCCGACACCCCCAGACTCCCTAGACTAACAGAAGCTGTCCGTCTTGTGGGCATGTTGGACAGCTCCCTGTGACTCGAGCACTCCCGTCACGACGATGAAAGCCGGCTTGAATTGCCAGACTTCAGTGCCTCTGCAGGTCTGTGCCGTTCCGGCAGACGTTCTTCAGACTACGTGGTCTTTGCATATGTCTTCGGAGGCGCTGTGTCGGGAATATTAGCACTGCAGAAGTGTTCAGGCCTCACTATGACACACCCGTTATATCGCATGATTGTTTCTGGCTGGCAAGCACCGCCCTGCAACCTTATAGCTGGTAAAACAATTCGAAGAAATCAGAATACCAGGTTACATTTTCTGCAAACACGACCTGCAAGAACCACCACCACATATGAGTCTGCCAAAAGCGGTTTCTCACATGAGCGCGGGATTACTTGTTTGTGCCGTAAACCTTATGCTTCGGTCAAAGCATAGTGAGATTCAGACTCCGACACAATGAGCTCTATCAGTGCATGAAAGATGTCGTTAAGTCCGGCATACATGCTGTGCCTCTGATCCCATACATCCCATGCCAGCTTCGATTTTTTGAGGAATGTCGTGCCTGTGCAGCCAGATGTGTTCCCGGCTTAGGGGGTGTACAGGTTTCAAATGGTTTTAGTTGCAGGGCTTTTACGAAGTTGAGCTCCGGAATACGAGCTGCCCTCGTTCCATTTAGCCCGGCATTTTGCAAGCGTCCGCGGAGTGTGTTTACGAGGCCCACAGCAGTCTGCTCTAAGCAGAGAAAGCAAGTTTGCAGTCGATGAAACGGTCCTGTACATTTAACCTTCGGAGCCCTTCACGAGGATAGCCTGCCGCTTTCTCCAACCGACGACACCCCTCCTCTTTGGGTGATAAATGGACGCACCTCTTACCCAAGCGATTCTTGTTTGCTCACGTGCTGCTCCGTGGCAGTGCAATGCCAGTCGCAGATAGTCCGCCGCTGGTCCCAAAGTTGGACAGCCGTGCGTGCAGCGCTTCCTTGCAGCGAGTGTCTGGATATCCATAGTGCTTCGATGGTCCCCGGCACCGCAGTCCCGGCAGAACGAGTGAGGACGTGCCTCATTGCAACGTCCCCACAAAGGGTTGCCACTTTCACTCAAACGATTCAGATTCCCTGCGATGCATCACTGAGTACAACTATCACCGGCCAAGACTCCGGTCCAACCGTCTGACAGTTTGCAAGGCACACGCTTGGTTCCAACTCCGAAGGCATCCTGCTGGGCTCAGCCGCCCTAAACCCTGGGGTTTAAGGCATTAGGAACAGGGTGATACAGCCCGCCGCTCTATGCCTTTTGCTTCCGTTTGATCTTGTCACGCCGTGCCTGGCCGGCTTTCGATGGCTCCCTCGGGGCCTCGGGCCTTAGGCCTGGGACCCTCTGAGGTAGACATGTCCGCTGATTGGCCTTTGGCTGTCGTCGTCAATTGTGCGTATGAAAGGGCGCTGCATGCTGCTATATAAGTCCTAGGCTTTCGGCTGTCACGTTTGATGCTTTCTCGTGGGACTTTCCAGCAGACCTGCACGAACCTCGCTCAGCCGGATTGGCAGGAAATGCAGAACCACCGTCGTTCCTTCTCCACGCAGTGTTGCAGGAGGATGATGCAAGTCGGAGTGTTGTTGGCAAAGGCTTCAGCGTTGTCAGGTCCATTGCCGATCTGCTCCTTTCGAAAGAGTGCCGCTTGGTTGTCGTCGATGCCTAGACACACACCTATCCATATCTCCACAAAGCACAAGACCTTCAAAGGACCTTCGATAAATGTGAAAACCCGATGATTTTTGCGATGTTTTCCGTTGTCAGTTGTGCGTTAGCCGATGAGGTAGTTCCAGATGTCCCATGATGCGATGTTGCCCCTGAGTCCTACCACGAGCCCTCTGCTGTGGACCAGTGGCGATAAGGCTTGATCAGGAATCTCGGGAGCGGATGCTCCATCCCTGCATCCTGAATTTAAAGTCCATTTTCCCCCAAAGCATAAGCCGGATTCTGGATTGAGGAGCCGTCGCTGTGTCCTTAGGCGGAATTTGGCAGTGTTCAACTCGCGCTGCATCACGGTGACGGCAGTTCTTTGAGCTGGGCAGCCTCTCCATGATGTCCACCTGGCATGTTCTTGATGTGCCAGCTCGGTTTAGTACGGACGTCTCCGGAATCAGAGATTCCCATGAGGGTTTCGGTTCTGGTGGAACTACTTGTTCTGTCCCTGCAGTTTTCCTTGATCAACAGCCCTGTGAAGCAGTACATGTTTATGCCACTGCCACGTGCTCAGGCAGTTTGGGCCCGACAACATGCAAGTTACGATTTGCAGGCGGGGCATCGCACCTCTTTGGCTGATGTGCTGCAAATGTCCGAAGCTTGGTGAGTCGGGGCAAAAGCGCTGAGCTTCCGCACGACTTCAGGGCCATCGCCTGGCTCGGAGCAACGAGTTCCGGTCATGGCCGATGTGCCCCACGCAAGCCGAAGCGCTTGCAACGCCTGGCAACGCCACTTTGTTGGCGGTCCCCTTTGCCCCACCCTAGGCCTAGGGGCGGCCCTGAGACGGCTAAGGCTTGCAACGGGTCTCCCCAGCTGTTGATGTTTTCCCTTTTCCTGGGTGACCGGTGGGATCTACTGATTCGTCTCCCTGCACGGCTTCGTGTGTGTTCTTTGTTGAAGCGCGGAGAGTGCATGCCTCCCAAGACTGCTCCGGGAGACGATCTGGCATGAGTTCTGGGAAGTTAGGTGCTTGCAGTGTGTCGCTGTCGCGCTCTTCGTTGATTGTGCACCGGTTTCCGAAGTTAAGCGTGTCTCTTAGCTGGGTTTGGTCTAGCTTCGCAAGGCGTGCCGTGGTGCCTGCAGGTTTGCATGCGACTTTCCTTGAGGCAATATTCAGAAGTGCAAAGGCCTCAGGCTTCAACATGTTTGGACAGTGATTCAGCGAGGCATACCGGAGGCATGAGGGGTGGAGTAGAAGGGAGGCGCTAGAGCTTTCCTTGTCTTTTAAACCAACATCTGCTGCAATCAAGGCCTTGGTTCAGCAGTCTCGCACGCGGCCCACCGGTCGCATGCCGAAGCGGTCTTTCGGCAGCTCTCAACCAGCGGAGCCATTTCAACGTGTGGCTCAAAGCCAGAAGGCCTGAACGCAGATGCGGCGTGAGCCATGTTGCTACTCCAGTGGTGAGTCATGCGCGTACAGGTGTGGCCTGGGTGACCTGCCCTGTCACTCGGGTGCTGAATGTCAGATTCCGAGCCAAGAACAAAGCCGCCACGCTTGCCTGGAAGGACGCAGCTGCACATGCAGCCGCAGAGACTAGGCGAGTCTGGGACCTTCAGCCGCGACTGGAGACGGCTTATTTAAGCAGAGGCTTCCGATACATTCCCCATACATCGATGCACCGCGATACGTTGGTACATCCATCGCACGGCCCCCTCGCTAGCTGAAAAAAGAAGTTGCCGCGTTTCATAAGTGCATCTCACAGCAGTCCACACCCCGCAGATCGCACAACTCGACATCACAAAAAGATTCTGCGCTTTGACGCAGCCATTTCTATCATCAGGTAGTTTAGTTGGACAGTAATCCCTACATGTACATTCTACCACCACATTGCGTCAGCAAGGAAATTATGATTACTATGAGAGCATTGAACATTACCAATGGTGCGGTCATCATCATGGCATTATCAACATGGTGATTTTTTTCGACCGACGGAGCCTTATGAGCAAGAGGCCGAGTCTCATGAATGAACATCATGCACCGGCTTAAAACTCCTTTCCATGACCTACCACGCTTAGAAGTAACGCAGAGTCAAGGCTTGGGGTCAGATTTCTAAGGTTGTAGTGCAAGCAAAGTAGGATGGATTCTGTCCACATTGGGTGAGACATTGCACGACAGAGGTTTCCATAGGCATTGCTACACAGTGACGTTCCACAGTTCTCTGAACCGTTACTGTCAGTTTTGTAATGAAAATGGTCCTTTCAGCGGTCTGTTCGCTGAATGAGTTTGGCTTTGGCACTACTACCGTAACGAGTTCTTCGGATTCCCCGTCTTTTCCACGGCTCCTGATTGGACCCTCCACACATAGCTGCATTGTTCGGCTCAATCTATTGCGAGGGGAGGCACAACATGGAAAAAATGAGCACTTGAAGCCAGAACCGCTCGTCAGCGAATCTGCACCAGCAAAGTGGTAAAACCCCTTATGTCTAAACTTAGATAAGCCCCTAAATCCCAAAGCCTCAAAGCCCGCCTAAACAGACTCTGTTGTGGTTTCCGGCTTGAACCCTGAAGTTGGGGAGTTGGGGTTCATGTCGCAGATTGCAGACCCTTAAAGAGCCCCATAAAGGGTTTAGGGCCTAAGGGTTTAGGGTTAAGATCCCTAAACCCTAAACCCTTAACCCTAAACCCTAAACCCTAACCCCAAAGGATCTCGGGGTAGCTCGGAATTCTGAGGAGATGGTCCTGCGCCATGGCGCTCGCATCGGCAGGCTCGGGGGTTGGAGATAAATTCACCCTAAGCCTCTGGTAGCCCTTGAAGGAACCCTTACTAGGAACCCTTAAAGGGATCCCTAAATAAGAGCGATTCGGATGTTTGAGGAGCCCTCAGAATCTGAAGTTTGGGGGTGCAAAAATGCTTGAGTGAAGGGCGAGGGTTTCGGGGTGTAAAGTTTAGAGAAGCTTTTGGGGTTCAGGTGCTTCGGGTTGAGGGTTTAGGGTTTAGGTCTAGGTTTAGGGTTAAGTTTTTTTTAGGGCTTGAATACGGTTCATGGGCTTGGTTTTAGGGTTAAGAGTTTAGGTTTTAGGGTTTAGGTTTTGGGTTGGGGGTTTAGGTGCTTTGGGGTAGGTTACTTGCTACGCAGTATCATGCTTATGTACGGATTTGGAGCACGTTCCGAGACGAAACGATGGTGTCTTGCCTTCATAGATTTTTGTTTCAGCTTGCACGCTAGACCATCATGTTGTCCATCATGTAATTTT